CACCAGCGAGGAGGCTGGGGGTGCACAAGGAGTTGGGAGGGGACACAGCTGGGACAGCTGACCCCAACTGACCAAAGGGATATTCCATACCATATGACATCATGCTCAGCATATAGAGCTGGGGGAAGAAGAAGGAAGGAGGACGTTCGGAGTGATGGCGTTTGTCTTCCCAAGTAACCGTTACGCGTGATGGAGCCCTGCTTTCCCGGAGATGCTGAACACCTGCCTGCCGATGGGAAGTGGTGAAGGAATTCCTTGGGTTTTTTTGCTTTGGTTGTGTGCGCGGCTTTTGCTTTGCCTATTAAACTGTCTTTATCTCAACCCACGAGTTTTCTCACTTTTACCCTTGCGATTCTCTCCCCCATCCCACCGGGGGGGAGTGAGCGAGTGGCTGTGTGGGGGTGTTGCCAGCTGGGGTTAAACCATGACATCATGACACACAGAAAGGCACTCAAAGTCTGAGATTCTCCATTTAAACTTGCACCATAATGGAGAAATGTGTAACTACATTAAGGAGTTTGAGCCTGTGTTATTTTTGTATGACAGTTCTTTGTTTCCTTTCTGTCAAAAACCAGAAATAATTTTAAAAGATTCTAAAAATTAAAAATTTTGCATCCTTCTTTCTCTTTCCTTCCTTATACAGCATTTATATTTCCTGTGCTACCACTAGTGCTGTGCCTGCTTCCCACGTGTTCACCTGCTGTGTGGAGTTTTAGAGCAGTAAAGGGGCTTCAGATCCATGTAGAAGTCAGAGTCAGTGCCTCTTATCGGGCCTCTGCCATGAAGAAAGCCATGTTAGTAGGTGCCCTTTTCCCACATGCAACATTCTTTGCCAGCTCCATTTCCTGCTCTATGACGCATCACATGGATCTTACATGAGGGCTCAAAATAAAAACAGGAGACCTGCAGATTTCTTATCATACTGTAGAAATGTCAGTTTTTGTCAATGTTTTGGTGTCTCGCCAGGGGAAAAAAAATGTTCCTTGTGGGAGACTTGAGTTAATTAGGATTTGCATTTGGAGTTGATAAACATGAGTCCTATTGAAGTTAATAAAAATTTTCCTGATTTTGGAATCAGAAGATCTTCTGTACCTGGGTCACACAGCACAAACAGATCATTGTGGACGTATTATGCAGTATGACAAGGTGTGTGTTTCTGATCTGCTTGGGCCAGCAGTTGCAACTTGCTGCCTTACTATCCTCTATCAAGTTTCAATTTACCGTATTCATAGATCTGAAAAGCAATTTTGGAAAATTATTCATGTATTCATACAAGGGAAGAAGACCCTTGAGACCTGATATTAAACAAGTCCTTTGAAATTAAAGGGCTACAGACGAAAAGGAAAAGGCGGGAGAACCAGCAAGTGAAAGGGTTTGGAAAAAAAGTGAGAAGGGAAACTAACAAAGATTAACGTCTAATAAAAGCTGTCTATATCTGTTCATATTGTATTCTGCTTGTTCTACGTTACCCACTGAGCCCAGAGTGAATTGCCTCATTCTTGCTTATCTTTTCTTCTCTACTCTCAACTGGTTTTTGACTGCATTGCAGACATTGCAAATAATCTTAATTGGAAATATTTATACGAGTGTTGACTGCTGGACTCTACTCAAGATTCCTAGAATGAGTTTATAAATAAATGAATGATTCATAGAATAGAAGAGGGACCACGCTCGTTTGAGCAACTGCATTGCCAGGGATAGGCAGCAGTATTTAATTTCTGGGCTTCTATTAGAAATTAGGATCAGCCAGGATCAGATAAATGCTTGGGGTTTTTTTGGGGGGGTGGGGGGGTTGTTTGTTTGTTTACATAGAAGTCCATGATCTGACATTTATTTTAGTATTTTAAAGAAATAAAGGAAAATAAATACTATAAGAATTTGATGTATTCTGCATAGGGGACAAGAGTATTATATATGCATTACCCACTAGTTTTTTTGTGAGACCCTGCCTACTTGCTCATTTGATAGCTTCCTTTTTTAGTTTCATTTGCTTTGTGCTGGGAAAGTTGCATAAATTTTTTCCCAAAGTTGTTTCTTTTCTCTTCACTGATATTCCCTGCCATCCATTTTTTTGTTTACGTATTTCTGCACTCTCTGGGAGATGGATTTTCTGTTTGTGTCTGTGCAACAACTTGTGCAGTACATATGTGATGATCCAGTTGTGGCCTCTATGTTCTGTTATACCGCTATCAGCACATGCTTTCTTTTAACATAAAATAATAGTTGCCTTATGGAGATTTTAGGCCAATAAATAAATTGTTTGGAGAGCACATGTCAATGCCATGATGGAAAAAAGTTGTGGAGCCGTATAATACTTGTGTGCATTATTTTATTGCAAACCTCAGTTTTGGTATTGAAAGTAGATAAGGTGTGTAATTCATTGACTTTCTCAGTATGTTACCCATTACTTTAAAGAATCGTCTAGAAATTAATTTCCCTGAGCTTTCATATCAAGTCACTGACTTGGAGTCCTGTATTACCAGTTTAATTCTATGCTTCCATTATTTGTTCTTTAATTAAAGTCATAATGACAAAAGTTACAGCTTTAATTTATCTGGTGTATTGTTATAATAGTTTCAATATCAAAGTAATGCGGGAAAGTGTCCCCTCTTTCACAACAGCAGGTTTTTCCTAATACTACAGATTGGTGTGAAATGAATATTTAATTTCATTCTCTGTAGCTGATAATATCCTTGTCCTAATCTGAACAAAGGTATTTTGCTTTTGTGAACTGTTGAGTGTTAAGCCCCCTGAGAGGGAAACTATTTCAGTTTTGTATAGAGACGGAGTATTGAACATCACAATAGTGAAGACTTAAAATACATTGAGAGCAAAAAGGGGAAATTGTAGAAGGATAATAAGTGTCAGTGAAAGACCCTAGTGACTGAGTGTAGTTATATTTTGTTTTATCAAAATAAAAAGTTTATTTCTATTTACCTGGTAGAATACCATATGGTAGGTTTCCATTACTGTAAAACTGAATGCTTTTTCTAATCACCTTATTCATAAAAGACTATGTGCAATAAGAACTTGGCTTATAACCATCTTATAAGAGTATATTTGAAGCATTTGAACATGATGGGTAAGAGTCATCATTTGCCATGATAATGTGGAGACAGCCATCTGGTGGCATAGTTCCTCAAGTGGCATAGCGCTCTTCCCTAGCCATTAGATTTGTTAGAGTGAGTTCTGGTCACCTAATGCAACAATTTATCATATGCAGATTATTTCTGTTCTGCTTTAGTCCGTAGGGAGGGGAAAAGAGTACTACTTATTTGCATAATTACAAGCAACTGAAATCTGATATTTGACCAAATGACTTTCATAAGAAAAAGAAGTAAAAGCTGTTTAATCTAGTGTAGAAAATTGATACTTATGATTTCATCATGCTTAGTTTTTTACCTGTAATGCTGCATACTCAGACAGTAAACATTGTGCTAAATTTGTGCTATGCATAATTTTGTAGATAGTCAGAAAACTTAGGTTTACATTTCTGTATGTTAACATAAACAGTCGAAACTCTCAAAAGCAAAGATAGTTGGGTGAAGATGACATTACAGTGTTAACTCCTCCGGGTTTGCTTTGATAATGTGCCAAAAAACTTAATAATGTTTGTTTGAAACTTGAGAAAACTAGAACAGCTGTTTTAGAGAAGATACACTTTTTAAAAATTATCAAAGTATGCCACCACTGTGTATGTTAAATATTAAGAACTCAGTGTTGTTTATAAGCACTTAAAAAAAATCCCAGCACTTACTGAAAGAGTACAGTGCGCTGTGGTATTTTGCCTTATGCCCTGAAGGCCAGCACACCACAGCTTTGTAAGACAACAGGGAACTGATATTTAAAACTGAAGCTTGTCAGAGACCCATCTTGTAGATTTTTGGACTATCCATACAATTTACATTTGAAGCTGCAATGATATGTAACGGAGTAGGCATTACAACTAGTTTCTAAGGAACTCTGTGATCTGAAATAAAAGGGTATTTACAGGGCAAAAGCATTAGTTCATAATTATTTAAAATGTGCTAGGCTTTGGTTTTGGTGGGCCTAAAGCAGAACATAAGTCATAGACACCCTCAGACTTGAAAAAAAATTCACTTGGAAACTATGACTAGTCTTCATTGGTGCTGCTAAACTTGAATTTCAACCAGAATCATGACTGTGGGAATGATTCTGCATAGGCTGAAGCATCCCCTAGGTTTGCAATGTTTTTTGTGGCCGGGGGCAAAAATGGAGTGGGGTTGGTCAAACTTAGTACGTTGTCATTCCTTGAAAAAACTTTCCCCTCTCTAATATATATGCCACTTCTAGAATGGCTTTTGTTAGCAAAGCAAGCACAAGTTCTCACTTGTGAGATAAGTTATTTACTTTGCAATTTATGTTCTCTCTGTTATAGTTTGGCTATCTCCCTTAACATCTAGCTCCTGAGAGATGAAACCAATACTTCTTATGTGGAACTAATTGCGGAAATGATGCTGTATCTGAGACTAATGCAAATAGTTGTCTGTTCCTGCTCTTTCTCTCTAATTGGTCTGTGGTAGGGGTTCCCCAGGGATAGAGGTGTAGAGGGAGGGAAAGATGGGAACAGTATTCCTGCAACTTCATATTCACCAAAGAGAGGCATGCAGGCAGGGGAGCAGGATTGCTGTACCTTCCCAGATATATGAGTTGTTCCAGACTCCTTCCATTACCATTATCCAAAATTGCCCTTTAAGCATTGTGAGAGTTCAACTACTTTTTTTTTTCCCCTTTTTTCATGTTGGACACATGGCTAAAGGAAACCTTTTTAAATTACAGTTATGTGGCTTGATTGAGATGGGGTCAAATTAAACGGGTCCTTAATGCCTTGAAAAAGAATTTGTATGAAAGTAACTCAAGGGTTTATTTGTGTTTCCTTATAGGTGGCATTAAGTGTCCTGTTTGCAGCTTTGTGTACGGTACAAAATGGGAGTTCAACAGACATCTTAAAAACAAGCATGGGATGAAGCTAGTGGAACATGATGGGGAGACCAAGTGGGAGGTAAATCAAAGTTGCCATGGCTTTGGCCCTAAGATTTTAAAAAATTCCAGGGAGAAAAGTAAAGATAAGAAGAAGAAGTATTCAGAAATGTGTTCTTGACTTTATATAAGATCAGGAGGTCATGTGATCTCATCTCCATTTTGAATGCATACATTGCTATCACTGTTAAGCTTGACTGCTTTAATATCTGGTAGGATTAACAACATTGTAAGTGCTTATTTCTCCATTTTAGGTCTCTAGTCCTCTATTTGCAGCAGAAAGGGTGAAAGTTTTAGCAAAAAAATGTGAAATTGAAACACTGCGTTTTGTTATATGCTAAATATTCACTGGTGTTAATTGCAAGCTTATATTGCATTAATGAGGGAAGCTTATGTCTTGGTCCAGAAAAGGTTAGAATCTGGAAAACTGGATTTGTAAATTGATCAGCTAAAAAAATGGTGCTGTTACACAGAGTAAGTGTTCTGTCATTTTGTTCTGTGTTTCCAGCTTCAATCCAAACTATAAAGGAAATCACAGTACCACTAAGATAGACCTTAAAAAATTTAAGTTAGACCTAAGAAGCTGGGTTAGAAAAAACCAAACCAACAACCTGAATTTTCTCGGTTTGGGTGGGGTAGGGCAGCTACCTTGAGAGGGCTTACCCCTTCAAGCTTTCCTCTGCTGTCATATGTGTAGCTGTTTGTTTTAAAATGAAAACTGTTACTCTCATAGAGCAGAGCTGACTGTAGATGCAGAAGCTATGGGAAAACCACAGAACTATCTAGACGCTTTTATTTAGAAAATTACAGTTGGCAAGCTGAGTCTTTTCCACTGCCTGAGTAGGCTATTGTTGGTGTCCAATGAGAGGAAAAAGCCAGAAGTCAACTGCAGTTGGCTGACCTCCACAGTTTGAGACCTGTTCTGCTAAATTTCAGGCAGTCTAGCCCCCGTTATAAATCTAATGCCTGATTTGGAAGAGCCATCCTGCAGTTCTTGTTTAACAGTTTTTGAGTATCCACAGATAGAATGTTAAGTCCTTGAAAAATATCAGAGAAGGTTCTATATGGACAGTTATTCAAAGAAGACAGGCAAGCATTTTAAAATGTAGTCCTTCAAAGTCTTGTATCCACATGCATTTCACAAACGATTCTCTGCACACTCGCCCAGAAGATGCCCAAACCTGAAAAAACAAGAGGACATCCAGGATGCCAGTGTGTCTCTGCTGCTGAAACAGCTATAAGTAAAGAAGTCCCATCAGAGCAGGAATACATATTGACAGCTTGTCTTGAAAAAACATAGTTATGAAAAGGATAATTTTTCTAAAACAAAATGCCATTTTCAAACTTCAGAGGCATTTTACCAGATCTGCAAAGACATGCATTATGAACTGATTTTGCCCAAAAGGTCTTTACTAGACCCTGATACAACAGAAATCTATTGTTAGTTGTAAAATAACTGTGCAACAAACATGAAGTCAAGATAATTTAGCATGCTTAAAACAACTTTTGAAGCAGAATCTAGAAGAAAACTATGGTATGATATCCTGACTCCCATGTAATATTCTTCTTGAATTCTGTTTCACCCAGTATTTCCATAACTGTTGTTACAATATTTGTTGTCTAAAACTCATTCCTTTGAACTCAGAACTTTCATTGTTCTCTAAATTGCTAAAATGAGAGTGAGATTATTCATGCCTTGGGTGGGTTTTGTTTTCAAGTTAACTGCTGAAGTTTCTGAAGAAGCATCCACTCAGTATCTCCATATCACGGAGGCTGGAGAAGATGTTCAAGGCACTCAAGCTGCCGTAGCTGCATTACAGAACCTTAGATATACTTCTGAGAACGGTAAGTTACCTTTTTTAGGTTGGAACACAAAGTATCTTTTTTCATAAATATCTAATTCTTTTGAGTATACTGGGCAATATACAATCTCCTGTGAGACTATTAAAAATTATGAAATTTGTCACCCAGAACTTACTTCTGGGGGGGGTTATATTTTTCTTTGAGGATAAATAGTGAGAAATGACCATTCTTTATGAATTTCTATATCCTTAAGTCATTAATACTTATCACGCTCTGTTTTGCACTTTATTATAAGGTGTGTGGAATTTCCTGCCTGTATTATTAAATATATTGTGAAATCAGCTATCTTGGCAGAGTAGATGGTGTGTATCTAATGGCAATTCTCTAGCTATTATTTTTCTCCCTGCTTAAGTCAGCCAGACTGCAGAAGTGACACAGTGGAATAGCTCATTTACCGTGTTCCCAAGACAGTACTAACAAACTTAATTCTGATGGTACGCAAAACTAAGCAAGCTATTCTGTATCAGATTGAGGAAGAACAAGAGTGGGTTTAGATAATGATTCCTAAGTGGGAAATAACAAAAACTGGAAGAAAAGAAAAAATGTCCAGGTTTCCAAGAGTGTTAAAACATCAGAGACTAGAGTAGGTGTTCATATGTTTTGTTTTTATGTATGTAAATAAATGTGTTGGTTATCAGAAGATAGCATTTTACAGTTGGTTACGACTGTAGTCTTTATAGTTCATAATACAGATACATTTCGAAAACTCCCACTTTTAATGGAATTTCCAAGCATGTTGCAATTAAATTACATTACTGACAATTTCTGTATATTATTTTATTTTAATGACTGGGAATTCTGAATGAGTAAAAACCTTCTGAGAACTTTTCCTAAGCTTTTCTATATTTAAATTAAAATAAACATGATCATGGAATAACAGTTTTGATTTTAAGCATGAGGCTGTAGTTTTCAGAGTAGAATGATTTGCTTTTTAGTGCATCCAACTTCAGATACTCTTCCAGCATATTTCCAGCATGTTCCCAAAAACAGTAGTATTTTGTCTAAAGGCAGTTATATAGAAAAAAAGCTAAAGCAAGCAAACATTTTTCAGTACTCATATAAACTTGTTTCTTGCATAGATAACAAAATATAACTACTTTCTGTTTGAAATGAAATTATCTGTCCTAGATCCCCATCACAGTATCAACCTCAGTTTAAAAGGGTTTGGGGTTAAGAGATGAGCTTTATTCTATTTACTGTCTCTTTTCTAGTTCCAACAGTGATTACAGCAAATATAAGGTAGCTTTAACATGACCCTGACAGTTTCTTTCCCTTTCTGACATCTCTCTCATGCTGACACTGGACATGTGGGAATGGTGGGCCATAGGAGGGGAATTCGTATTCCTGCATAACAAAAAATGTTTTTCATCATCCGGATCTTTCCTTTTCACACTTTGGGAGAAGTGAGAGTACAACTACGTGTGGGGGTTTTTTTGTAAACTTGCCTTTCCTTTGGCAGGGCTATACACATCAAGAGGATTTTAAAAAAAAGGGGAACCATGTTCTGATCCCATGCTTATAAAATGATAAGCATGAGCTCTCTCAAGCAATTAACTTTTCCCTTCAGCACATTGGTGATAACAGTACTTCTTTTAGGTTGGGGAGTATTGCAGATGACCGGACAGATGGTAAACACAGGTTTGTAATATACCAAATAGCTGTTGTAGTTATAGAGTTCAGGTTCTGTTTAAGCTGAATGTCTGGCAAATACACATTTGGATTTGTAAAGTCTTGCACCTTCCAAATTTAGAGTTACTGCTCTGAGTTGTACTGTATTGTTTGTTTATTCAACGTATTCTTTCAGATCCCTTTCAAATAGGCATAAAAATGATCAGTGTGGTTTCACTTGCTGATTCATGTATTCCTTGGGCAAATTTGTTTTGTGAATACTTTCCTGCCATGGATCTATTATTGAAGTGTCATGTTATTGAGCTATTTGAAATTTATAAACAGCGCTGTGAGTAAGAGTGCCTGTAGCACTTAGGTTCATGTACCTGTAGAGCTGTTTAACTATAATGACCTTATGGTTACTGTCTTTCTGATAAGGTGAAAGACTTGATCCGACAGCTGTAAACATCCTGCAGCAAATCATTGAGTTGGGTTCGGAAACCCATGATGCCACTGCAGTTGCTTCTGTAGTTACCATGGCCCCTGGCACTGTGACAGTGGTAAAGCAGGTAAGAGCTCTTTTCTTCTCTGAAACAGCTATATTTAATTTTCGTATATTTATTGTGAAATGAGTATTATTTTGCAAGGATTAAATTTTGAATGACCGTGCAAGACATGTATAGAATTTTTCCTAAATTAATTTTTTACTGTATTGTGTGTATGTGTGTTTATATGCCCACAAACATACATGTTTATACATATATACATATATATGTTTATACATATAAAAATGCATACATTTTTGCATGTATGTAAAATATGAGTGAACAAATACACATATATGTGTACCTGTGTGTGTGAAAATACAGCTTTTTTCTAGCAGGCTTTTTAAAATAACATACTTGCATTGTGTGTGGGCACTTAGTTCCATCATCATCTAAAAGAATCAGGAGGTCCTTGGCACAGCATTCATCCCAGTACAGAAGAGCATGAAAGGGCGTTGCTTGTGCAGAACTGTCTGTGCTCTGCAAACGTAGTGCTGTAGGACCATACCCAAAGATGAACCATTGTCGTTAGTCTTTGCAATGCTGTCCTGTGACTGAACTTTGACAGACTTGTGGGGTCCTAAAGTCATGTACCCTGGGGACAAATGAGACTTCTCCTCAGTCTGAGTTCACACTGCCTTTCTAATGAGGGTTGCAACACAAGTGATCTGCAGGTGCGTAACAGCTCCAAGAAGAACATTGCAGGTGCTCCTTACAGCAGTTGCTTATGTGAGACAAAAGTCAGCGTGGCCACCCACATTTGAGATAAAAAAAAAAAAATTCAATTGAGTTGTAGTTGATTGAAAAGATCTGCAGTTAATTTTGTTGTTACCAGGGAAATTGTGCAAGACCAGAAGATATAGATCAATGTAAAAAAACCCATGTATAAGATTGATTGTTAATTGCAGGCTTTTGCACGAATTCTCTTTCCAGAAAAATGGTGGATTCAACTGATAATTAAGTGACATAATTTGTGGTAGGCAGTGTAGTTCCTCTTAAAATGAGACAAACCTTATAAGATATTGGTAGAAGTAACTTTATTATATGTATATTTTTCTTGCAGTTTGGTACTGCACAGGTTTTGCTAAAAATATTTGCAACATACAGTATTAACAGTATGTAATTGTAAGTAAGTGCTTATTAAAGCACTTCTGAAATTAAGAATGATAAGATATACAAAATCATCAAGTAAAAGGAAATAATTTCCAATTGAGGTGGCTATTGAGTGCAAACATCAAGACTTTTCCTCAGTATTTCTTCCTCTCAGGTGTCTTCTAACTTTGTTGCTGACATTTTACATTTCTCCTCACAGTATTCTCCAAGCTCCACTTGTTCCTCCTCATACCTCTCTGCTTATCCCTTTTCCCATTCTGTTCAGTGATTCATTGGGGTCTCTGCACTCAATGTCGTTGATAGGTGAGGGAAGGAAGCTACATGAGAAGTCTTAAATTCCTGAATTTAAGTAACTCCTTTTGTTTAAATGAACCAAAACTCTGATTATTCTGAGTACTAGAACTAACGTTTGAGTTCAGTATTTTTTGTAGTGTTGTGAACACTGAATTCATGAGAGCTCCATAGAAGTGGGAAATCTGTTGTCTGTGAAGGCAGTATTTGGATAATTCCTAAACTTGTTGCCCAAATGTCAGGGACACAAGGCAGAATTTCAAGACAGAGCATTTTGAGATGTTCTTTGGCAATACTTAACAGGTATTTTGATTAGAAACCACGTAAGAGTTTTTAGTTTTTTTGAAAAATAACAGATCCAAATTTGGAAACTAAATTCAGTCATTAAAGAGAAGAGACATTTTAGTCCTATTATGTGCAAGTTTCAAAACAACTTTAACAGTAGAGTCACTGCCAACAGGCATGCTGTGCTATACGTATGACCTATTTAAGGGCTGAATGCCGTATTAGCCATTGGTGTTTGTCTATGCTGTCTGTCAATATTACTGAAACCTGTTCTTCCCTTAAAAATGCATCTTTTGAGGCCCTTCTACTAAAAGCTTAGGAGAAAGTGACCGTTGAACTAGCAGCTGCCAAGGGAAAACTACGTTTTGATATTTGAATCTTAAAATTTAAAAATACATAATTAAAAAAATTCAGTGATTCTTCCTCCTCCAAGTATTAAATCTGATCAATGTCTGATTCATCTTAAAATCTATCGTCTTCCTTGTTAGACCATCTGAATTTGCTGATAGCTTTTTGTAAGTAAATGTTTATATTCCAAATTAATTTTCTCCCTCACTTTTTAATCCATATTTCTAGCCTTTTGAGTTTACAAGCTGCTAAGTATTGATCACTGCTTTTTCCTTGCCTTGTGTACATCAGTGACTCTCACTGGTCTGATGTCAAACTGTTAGAAGCTCCGCTCCTATATCAAATCAAATATTGAATTCTCAGAGCACAGAATTTCTTTCCTGCTTTTCTTTCTTATTTTCTTCTCCCCTACACCTTTAAAGTCTTGTAAATATAAACCACCTTTTTTCCCCTAACTTGAAGTTGCACAGAAGCAAAATCTGTGAAGAATTTAAATACATCTCAAACTGAGTGATCTTACGCAACCTCTGTTTACGCTGGATTTTACTAATGCCTTACTTTGATGCTCGAAGCACCGTTCCTCTACTAACATGTTACTTGCGTGTTCTGGAATGCCTACTCATTTCTTTCTCTGGTAGCCTCAGTGACTTTTCACTTTGTGTCTGCAGAAGTGTGCAGATCTGTGATTTCCCAGGGGGGGATCAGGCGGCAGTATGCCTACTGACAGCTGACTGACTGCTGAGTTACCTCTAGTGGGCTTTATGGAAGTAGGGCAAGGACCAAGGGAGGTCTGCAGATGATGATGATGGTGATTATTTCCCTTTCATTTTTCTCTTTTAATTTTTTCTCTTTTAATTTTTAATATAAATCAGTGTTTTATCAAAGTTTGTTTGATCTGTTATACAGCTTTAGTTAGTTTCCAGTTCTTGTCTTCCCACCAGAAGATTGCTTCAGAATTACAGCCACACCCATTTTTAATTTGAGAGAAAGAAGTCTTTAAATGTTATTAACGTGACTGTAATCCTCCCCTATTCAGAACTGTCAGCTTTTCTCTTTTCTTCAATACTGAGTTGCTTTCTGTGCGATATCACTTATTTGTACCTACGACTTTGTCAGGTTTTAATTATGCTGAGTTCCTAATTGTTAACCTTGAAGTGATCTTAAGACATGTTCATATTTCACTTTCCTACTGGAAAATTTATTCCACACTTTCTTCTGTGACCTTCAGCTTCTCTTGTGGATTGTGAGACAAAAAATTCATTCAGGGTGTCAGCAATATATCAGCATCATCTGTCACTGAATTTCCACTCTTGTTCTTTAATGGCCTCACTGAGTCCTTGCTTAGCAGCTTGGTTCCATTTTTTTCCTTAACATTTATTGTGGTTGTTCTGATTTTTATGCTGTTATGTTGGTTTTTTTCGTTTTCTCTAAGGACATACATTATCCAGTTTCTTCATCAGTTCTTACCTTCATATCTCATTTTTAGCTAGCCCTTGCAAATTGGTTTCATATTTCTGTATTTGCACCAACAAATTTTTTCTAAATCCTAAATTATTAGAACATTTTAAAAATATTTTTTGCTGTAAATGTTACACTATATTGTTGCTATCTTCGTCTCCCATTTCCTCCCTGGAACTTTCTCCCACAGCTGTCCTCTTCCTTACTTTTCACCCACAGAAGTGCCGTTTACACCTGATCCTTAGAATTATGTGTGAATCCAGATGTATCTATCAGTAATGCTGCCATCTTCATGCTTCAGCACTTCCCCTAACCTCAGATACCTTTGCTGTGCAGTACTTCTGGTGTTTCAGGTTAATGCAAGACTTTTGCCTGCAGAAACAAATTCTGTCTTTATCCATAAGTCCTTTTCAGCATTTTGCAAGATTTGCAGTGTATTAGCTAGATCTGACTGGTATATTTTTGAAATTGTTTTCTACTAAGTCACAAGACAGAAAGGATACCATGTTTGAGATGTTCTTCTATTAAATTATTGTTCTGGGTTGCATGTAGTCTTATTGCAAGTATCTTAAATCATGAGTACACATTATAATGGAGGTGAAATCAAGATCAGATTGTCTGTTCAAAGCCCCCAGCTCCTGAACTGGCTGTTGAGAAGAAAAAAAAATTCAGCTCTGACTTTGGAAACTTTTAATTTTTTATTCATAAGAATGATTTTATAAAAGAAAACACTTTGACAACATAGCAATAACCAATCCCATCCTGAATTGGGATTCAGCTTACAATTTTAAACACCAAAAATGCAAAGTTAGCCCTGTTTAGCTTGGATTATTATTGGGAAATAGGATTTGTTGTTGATTCTGATAGTGTCATGTGTATGAGGCCTTTCAAAAGCCCAAAATGACTTCAGCTCATTCTTGCCTGAGAGTCAGTATACTAACCTGTTATCAAAGTTAAATTTTTTCTGGTATCTAATTTGGGAGAAATCTTGTTGCGTGACAGCTGTGAAAACGTACAGCTGCTAAGGAACGTAATACGCACCAAATGCCCGAGAGAAAAAGTTAATAATGTGAAGTTTTACCAATATGATCTGAGATTGGCAAAAATCCACACTGAAGCTTTGATCACAGCATGGCAGGAGAAGTGTATCCTTGTCAGTTTGAGTCCTTTTCAATTACTAGTGATCCAGTCTGGATCTCCTTCTGACGGCGTTAATGAAGATGATTCTTTATGGCATGATATTTGAGTTGTTCTGCACTGCTTAAAGACAAAAAAAAGTAGCAAGGTGGGGGAAAAGTGAGAGCAAAGAGTGCTAAGTTTGAAGAATAACTAGGAAAGAAGCTAATAAATGCTTAGAAAAGGCAGGAAATATTGTTCATAGTGGATGGTAAACACAGACGAGAAATTGACACGCCTGAGAGACGGGATCCATCCAGAGGGACCTGGAAAAGCTCGAGAAATGGGCCCGTGTGAACCTCATGAGGTTCAACAAGGCCAAGTGCAAGGTCCTGCACCTGGGTCAGGGCAAC